ATTCCTTCCCAGCCTGTCCACCTGGCGCATTTTCTGCAGCACCAGCCCTTCCAAATCGCGCCCTGGGGCGCATCCTCGGGTTCTCCCGAGCTGCCAGAGCCCTGTGTGTGTTAGAGCCGGGAGCCTTCGAGCTTGAGTCATCCCGTCCACTTAAGGAAGGAGGGCAGGACTTCTCCCCAACCGGGAAGCGGTGGGCAGCCACGTGTGATTCAGGGGAGGCTCTTTAGAGACGTTTCTACAACATCAAAATCTAGACTCACCCCAACAAAATCACAACTCCCAACGTTTTCTTTTCCGTGTCAAAGTTTTACTCCTACGACTTTATTGATAATTCTGGTTTTTAAAAGGGCAGGGTGAGGACACCGTACGGGGTGGGCCAGGTTGGTAACTGTGGCTGGAGGTTAGAGAGGAAACCAGGCTCGCCGAGGCGGCCTGGGGCGGGCGGGTCCCAGGTGTAAGCTGAAGGCACAAAGGCTGCCGGCTGGCGCTCGAGGATGCGGCTCCACTGCGCAGCCCGGGGCCAAAACAGAAACTTGGGCGAGGGGTCAAACAAACCCTGGCCGGGGCCCCGCGAGGGGCGGAGTGCGTCCCCGCCGGGACCTGGCGGCAAGGCCGCCCAACGCGTCCCCGGGGTCTCCTGATCTCCCGCAGCCCNCCATCCCCGCCAACCTGCAGCTGTGCCACGGCATCGAGTACCAAAACATGCGGCTGCCCAACCTGCTGGGCCACGAGACCATGAAGGAGGTGCTGGAGCAGGCGGGCGCCTGGATCCCCCTGGTCATGAAGCAGTGCCACCCGGACACCAAGAAGTTCCTGTGCTCGCTCTTTGCCCCGGTGTGCCTCGATGACCTGGACGAAATCATACAGCCGTGCCACTCGCTCTGCGTGCAGGTGAAGGACCGCTGCGCTCCGGTCATGTCCGCCTTCGGCTTCCCCTGGCCCGACATGCTGGAGTGTGACCGTTTCCCCCAGGACAACGACCTCTGCATCCCCCTGGCTAGCAGCGACCACCTCCTGCCGGCCACTGAAGAAGGTAAACCTTCCTCTTTATTCCCTCCCTCCGAGCTCTGCTGAGACTTTCGG